GATTATGATTGGTCAAAACTAAAATCACATGACTAAATAATAAAATATCTTTTTGTAACATTTACATGACCCGCCCGGTTATGAGAAACGAATAATTTTATATACTTGACCTTACCTAAAATAGATTCTTTGTTGTTTGTTCAGATCTCGCTCAAATTTATTTACAATAGAAGAGAAAAGTACGTATGTAACATGTAAATAAAATATTTAAGAAATTTACATAAAAAATCATCAACTTCTTTTAAAACTTAGGTACTTCCAGAATAGATGTCCCATCTATCATTTCAAGTTCTTCCTTGGTGAAGTATTTCATAATTAATTGTCCTCAATATTAAGAATAAAGAAATGAATAATACTATAAAACAAAAATGCAATTGTTACAATTCTTCTTACACAAACATAATCTCACACATGATTGCTACTAACCGCTCAAACTCCAGCTTTTACCCTAGTTTATATAGCTATTCCTCCAGATGAAAGTTTCCATATGTATAGTATTTCTATTTATTGCTCTATAAGCTCTCATAATTCTTCTCTTGATTTTTCTTACTCACCTTTCTAAGCAAAAAAAGCATAATTGTGAAAAATCAAGTCTAAAAATTCTTAATAAAGATTTACTTTAATTTTCTTTACCACTTTACTTTTTTCACCTCTTGATTATTAATACCCGTCCTTTAGTTAGTAGTGAAAATATTAATAAACATTTACAGCTATAATAACATCTGTCAGATATAATTTATTTCAAGAACTGAAGTATCCAAATCTGAATCTTTATCATTCTCAGAAACATTAGTTTCTAACTATATACATATTCCACTTTTTGTAATAAGCATTAACATAAATATAATTAACTTGATTTCAGGAAATATAGAAGGATCTGACAGATTGGAAATTTGTGGTTATTGAGACTGTAAATAAGAGTTATATTAAAGGTAACAGCATATGATGAAGAATTATTAATGTTGGAATTAGAATATCGGAAATTTTCATCATATCTAGCCTTCAAGTTTATTTAAAATCGATTATTTTAAATACAAAAAAAAAAATACTATTTTGGTTTAATTCTAACCTTATTAGACAAAGATTATAGAAACTTACATAACGATAAGTCGATAATCATTCAAAAAAGATTTCTGCTTTTTTTTTATTTTTGATTATTTTTAACCACAGTTTAGATATCTTTTCTTTATTATTTGTTAAACAGATAAATAAGCATAATAAATTTACGTTGGATTTTATTTCAAAAAAAACTTTGAAATCTTACTTTTGGGATGATGGAATTATATTTAACCTTTTTACAAAATTTATATATATTATGAAGTGTATTAAATGAACATAAAAAGTCTTGCAAAATCATAAATACTAAAAATATATATTAATTCTTTCATATTAAAAGTTTCTAAAAAAGAATAATTGTAAAGTTTTTATATCCATTATTATTCATTATCTTATGAATAAAAACAATTAATAAATGATATTAATAAACTGAAGAAAAAAATTATTAAGTTAGATAAAAACTACCAATTTTACTTTACCTAATTTAAGACAAAAAGTAAAAGTAAATATAAAAGTTATTGCATAATATACAAAGTATCTTACCTTATATTAATGCCAATTTTTTTTAAAAAGAAAATTTTATTTTTAGTTAGCTATTAATAATTCACAGACAGACAGAATTATTATTATTGGAGTTAAGTTATTTAATTACTTTATATAATTATATTGAAATATATAAAGTTTGTAGGCAAATCCTAATATTACAGTATATTGACTTAGTTTCGTTATTCTTTTGTATTAAAATAATCAGATAAAGTGATAGCTTCCTGCAATATAGACTGATATTCTCCCAGATGCAAATTCTTTCTTATCTTTTATTATATATATGTTAAATATTAAAAGATTTGCATGTAAACTTTAAAATATTAATATTTCAGCATCCTTCCTGTCTGATGACTAAATATGCTACTTTTTCATATTAAATAATCAGGCAGGGTTTGAGTAATCTTTATGTAACAAAAAGAGATGTAGATATCTTTACTAATATATAACAGATATTAAAATATCGATATCTATTAAAAAATACTTCACTTTATGTAATTAAATGAACAGTATAGAAAAAAATTTTAATAGTCATATATTATAATCAGGATCCCGAAAAATACATATCATAAAGTGATGATTGGCAATTTTGTCAAATGTTTTTACTAAGGTCAATACGCAAAATTAGTTTATGACCATAATTTTTATTAAATAAGCAATTTTTTTTTATGACATATTTATATATTTAAAAATTGTTTAAGCAAGTCAGAATTCCAGCTTTTTTGTAGAGCTATGCTACTAATTAGTAGAAAATCCTGGAATTCCAAGAATTCTAAGGAGTTAAGCTGCTAGTTAATAGAAAATCGCTAGAATTCCAAGGCATTATACCACTAATTAGTAGAAAATCGCTGGAATTATAATTATATATATTTATACAGTATATTAAAAAAAAATTACCGGCATCTTACGCAAATTAAAATATATGACATTATGCAAAATAATTGCTACTATGCAAACTATATATATAACTTTTTATGACTTTCGAGAATTTTACTAATATGGTTAAATAAACTTGCATGTGGCCATTGTGACCTTTATATGTATTTTTCAGAATTTCAGAATCCTATTATATCTGAATAATCTGATCAAATTTTAATTATGCACAGTATTTTATTAGTAATTGTCCGAAGCGTAGTGAAGTACACTCAATATCTGTCACGCTATGGCCAATGAAATTTTAAGATCAGGTGTAACAACAATAATAGGCCAATGAAATTTTAGAATCAGGCTTAACACGTGATATTATTGATAATCATGTGATTGTAACGCTTCAGAGTTCAGACACCGTATTAAAATTATATAGAGCAATATATGATTTATATATATATATAAGGAATTTGCTATATGATAGAATTATATACAAAAATCATTACAAATAATATTCAAATTATTATTTATATTATACGTATAAAAAATTTTTTAGTGTAAATTCTTTATTTACATATATAAAGAATATTTTTAATAACTGAATGTATGTTGTATGGATTTGAATCTACTTTAAATTACTAGTTATACATACGTAAATGCATATGACTATACTACTAAAATTATTCAATTTTACTAAACAATTTTTAATTAATAAAGAAAGTTTAATTTTATTAAACCAAAGTGATAAAATTATACTGTGAAATTAATAAATAGAAAAAAAATTTTTTAAAAGTTCATTAATGTCATAGTATGAAAAATGATTTTTTCATGAATATTAGTGTTATTAATAGCTCAGCTTAGTCCAAATTAAAGCTAAAGCTAATAAGAAATTAAGTCAAACTAAACTGATTTCCATCAACTTTACAAGTTATAATTAGCAAGTATATGCAAATTTAAGAAAATTTTATTTTCCACAAAAATTATATATACTTATTAGATGTTGAGATATTTAATAAATATATATCTGATATATTTTTTTAATTTTATAGTGTAGTATACAATAATAATAAATTTACTTGTTATAATAAACTTACAATTACAGCAAAATTTCCAAACAGACAATTTTTCAACAGGATATTTGCCTAACAGGTTTTGCTTAGAGCTGCGACCCGTTACCCGTTTACCTGGATACAATCCGGGTATACTCAGGTATTTATGAGTATCTGGGTTATAGAATAACAAACGGGTAAAAATGGGTAATACCCATTTTGTATCCGATTTATGTTGACACATATATACTGTAGAGCTTGTGCCCGTCATAACGACGTTTGCCACCACAAACTACAAAGATAAATTATTAATATTATCAAAATGAAAAAATTCAAGAAAGAAAGGAAATTCTAAGTCTTATTCCTAATCTAATTCTAAGAAATATATTTAAACAAAATAAAATTAATGATTTCCCCATTTTAGACGTTCAAAAACAACCAATTAAAATAATAATTTCTTATTCGTTCATTTCTACTGCTTCGTCATGATTATGTAGATCATTTTCAAGGGTTATCCTGACTACCCGATCCCCAAATGAAATAATTAACCAATAAAATCTTACAAACTAGTTTACCGTCATCGCGGATGCAGAAAATTTAAAATTTTGTACACTTAGACTACATATAAAATTGCGCCCCAAAATTAAAAATTTCACTAGGTAATTTCGGCCTCTACAATACCCAGGTATTACTCGGGTAATTGCTCCATAAATTTTGCCAGAATTAAGATGTTAACTCCGGCCAGAATTAATGTTTATATATCTTGCCACAAAAATAATCTATGAAAATTTTTGACCTAAAGAGATTCTTATTAATTCTGGCCAAAATTATAATTTTTGGCCAGAATTAAGCGGTGTATTAATGGCCACTGGTGAGTTTTAGCAATACTTATCCTAAAAAACTTCTTCATTTGTTTTATATTTGATAAATATCTTGATTTATATATTTATTGAGAAAAGAATAGGTTTTTATCCAAAAAGATACGGGTAATACCCGTTTTGAAGTCGAAATTCTGATGGGTCGCAGCTCTAGTCTTGTTAGAATTATGCAGAATTATACATGAATATATGATCAGCCGTTCATTAGATTGCTAGAAAAATGTCTTAAATGTCTTATTGGAAATGATCTGTAAGTGTAAACTTACTAATAAAATCTTAATATTAAATATAGTAAACTTTTTATCATATGCGCGCATTTTTGAAATTTTGACACACCCCAAAATTTAAGTTGCACGCAAATCATTTGTCGATGGTGTATATGCGAAATTCGGGCATATATTTGTAACTTACAGAAACGATAACTTACACTATGTGTAAGTTATACGTGACTAGTGAAGGTAATAGATTTTTGGGAATATTTTTTTCATATAAGGACGATAGAAAAGTATACATAAGGAAAATTGCGCATATGGTTGAGATTTTTTGTTCAAAAATAAGATGGAGGAAGTTAACGGATAAAATTTTGATATCATTGTGGAATACGGTAATGATTCCAGCAATTGAATATCAATTGCAAGCAGTAGTTTTAACGGAATTAGAATGCGAGAAAAATTATGGCGAAGGTAAATAAAGTATTAAAACATAGTTGTAATTTGCCGATCAGTTGTCCAAATGCTATAATTTAAGATAAAGACTTATTGTAAGTTAAAAATATTTACGCATTGCAATTGAAAATGTTAGAGAAAAACATTGTTTATTATAGTATTGGTCGTAAAGATTTAAAAAAATTATTCAAGATGAATTTAGTTATATTACAAGGTTTATATTGGACGGCAAAATGTATTGGAGAAAAGAATGTTAATTTAAGAAAACTATGTCACAGTTATGTAAACGATAGTTTAAAGATGTTAAGAGACAATGGAATTTCAATTTGCGATCACGAGTTAATTACGGATAATTATAATAAATGTCATAGATATTTAGGTGGTTGTCACTAGATATTTTTAGTGAAAATGAATATAATAAATGGAAGGTACAGTTAAAAAAGAAGAAAATATTATTTTTAGATCAGATCATAAAACACGATAAAGAATATCTAATGAAGTGGCAACATTTTTGTGTGGAACGAGGTTTTATTAATTATGGAGGTGGTGAACCTCTGCGGTACAAGCGTTTAAAAGAGATAATATGTGAGGATGCAAATTCTAGAGAAATTAAAAAACAAATATAAAGTCAATATGGCGGAAGAAAAACTAGTAGAATGTTTGAAATTAGATGATGTGGCTTCTAGGAAAAAGATAAAATAATCACGTGGAACGAAAGAAGGCATAGTATTTTGTAAGTATTAACGTAAATCTAAAAGTAAAGGATGGAATGGTTTAGGGATACATTATACTCAATAACGAATAGTGATTTTGATTCTCCTTGGTTAAAAAAGTGCGCAGGATGTTATAAAAATATTTCTAGAAATAGAGAGGACGATGTTTGTTTAATACATTGTAATATTGGAGATGAATTAAGTAGAGAAATAAAAATAAGAAAGATAACATAAAATGAATTGTCAAGTAATGAAGGAAGTGTGAAACCATTTGAAAATCTGTCTGATATCATCGACAAAAATAATATTTTAATTACTAAGAAACATAAAGAATTAAATGAAGATACAAAAACGGAAGATGTAAGGGAAGCTGAATTTTTGCTTTGGTTAAATTATATATGTGTAAATAAAGAAAATTTCGTTTGGGAAAATTTCGATGAGTTAGTTAATAAATGGAACGATATCGACAAAGTAACGATTACGGCACGTCAATATTTAAATATAATAACAATATAGAAGGAAACAGACGAACAATGGGGAACGTTGAATTTAGAATTACGACGATATATAAGAAAATTTTTAATACAAATTTAAAATTTAGTATTAACGAAGATATGAATGAAATGAAAAGAATTTTAATCACATTAATTATCGCTATGAATTAGAAAAATTTAAGAATGAGACAAGTAATAGGAGAAAGATAGATTACAAAAACTATTACTTTATTAAAGTTTTATATCAGATAACAATAAGGCAGAAATGATGCTATTAAAGCAATTAGAACAATTATTTGTTATTAATATAAGTTTCAATATTAATTGGGCAAAATTTAGGTAAACAAAGTTACACTAAATCTCTCCATATCAAAATCTCCGTATAATAAAACAGAGTAAAGACTATCGTACTCGTAGATCGCTATTCGATATTCATTCATACATTTACTATTCCCTGTTACCAAACTAACTAAAGTAATTCTATACTATAATCTATATACGTTATCCTAAAAAGTTTTATACACGTTTTTCCGTTTTTATCCTTGTTTTTGCTATTTTCTAAATTTTCTACCAATATACTAATTGTTCCTCATCCCTCACTACCTCCTTTTGTTTGTGTCGTCTCGATGATGTTAAACTTGATGATGGGCTCACTTTGCCGCCACTCCATCGAACAACCACTTGTCCTTGAGGTAAAATTTTTATCATGTGTTCGTCGGATCTTGTCTTTCAAATTGCCGTATTCGTCTATATAATCATCTTGTTTCTTCAGTTGTAACTCTTTTCCAATCTCGTTGTTTCTCATCGACTTAGTTATCGCGCTCATCAAATCCACTTCTTTGTTAAAATATAAAATTATCATCACGTGACTGCGTGGCGAAGTGGTGGTAACACTAACATATAAAAGTTTGAATTAACGCGATTAGCGTGACAATTACTTCTGTCATGTCTTTCTCTAACCAAACTCTTTTTTACTCAAATAAAATAATACCAACTATACATACACTATTGTTGAAGAAGGTTTTTACCCTTTAAAAAACATAATTTGCTATACCTCAGCTCGTTCTCGCAATGGAATTCAATTTAAAATTCCAGATAATTATTTAGTTCAAACTAGCTGGGGTAGAGGAGATTTACGACATACCATAAAATTTGAAATTGAATATGAATCAGATGGATAACCTGTTTTTAGAATTTGGTTTAAAAAGAACTTTCAGCAATACGTAATAGAATTAAAGCTGCCAATGAATACTTGTGAGTTGGTACACCATTTTAAATAAAATTTTGTATTTTTATTTATAACATTAGTTTTATCATTTGTTTTAAAATAGAGGAAAATCCTAATACTCATTCAAATCTTTTTGGAATACATGTATTTGGTCTTGTTCTTTATCTACAAATGCTACAAATGTAGATAAAGAACATGAAAAAAAAAGTCATTCTCGTTCTTTTAAACTATTTAACATGTTAAAGTGAACCTATTAAACACGTGCATTTTCTATACATATTGATACAATATTTCAAATGAAACTCTGAATTTCTATAATTAAAGCGATCAGCCAATTTTGCAAGAAATCCGATTTAATGTTCAATTTAGGATTATTTGGCTGATTATCATGATAAAAATGAAAAAGAAAATCAGCGCATTGATGCATTTACAAAAGTTATTGATCAAGGGCCAATTTCCCAAGATGCTTACCAAAACCTAACTGCACTTCAATCTGAGTTACCACATTAATGAAGAAATGAGTTAAAAATCCTCATTTCTATTTTAAATATTAAAAATACATCCCTTATAAATGAAGCTCGGATCAAGAAGTTGTAGAAGAGATGTTACAATATATTGGTAAACAGGTTATAGACGTATTTCAGATATTTTACATTTTGTAATTCCAGATCTTATGAATAGAAGTAATCTCAATCCAAATGATCCTATAATTCATGTATGAATATCAGATGATGGGCTTAACGAAGGCAGAAAAGTGAAACACGTTATGATTTTTTTTTTGATTTTTACGAATATACAAAAGAGTAATCTATATTTATAAATTCTATAAAATTCTATAAATGTATATATCCTTTTGTTTTCCGCTCCACTGTTAATTAAGGTAAACTAGACCGCTTTTTTTATATTAATATTCAAATAAATTACAATTAACCTTTGCTTCAGCTTGTCCATCAAATAATAAAACAAAGGTTAATATTTACGCCCCCAATTCTGATTGTTACTAGCTGTGTATACGCGTCTGGGCCTTGAAAAAAACACCACTTTTGTAGTTAAAATAGTAAATATAGCTAAAAGAGATTGATATTTATTTACCGATAGTGCATTGACAAGCCCATGATTACACATTGATTGTTAACATTTACCGAAATATGTTTGGCCAAATATTGTATAGAATGTTCGCTGAGAGTTGGTTTTGTTATAGACATTTCATATGTCTCAGAGGTAGGGTGTCTTGGGCTGATAAAACGACACTTAAAAATAAATTACGTAGAGACATATGTCAACAATCTCTTCCTCACCACGCATGCACGTTCTCGCACTTTCTTCTGATGCCTCCTCGAATGTCTAAATCATCAAAAAAATCGTCACTGTTGCTATTAAACTGAACTTGTACTTGAGGGAGAGTGGTATTGATGACCTCGGATGTACCTTCAATTTCTTTTTTGGATTATCATCATCATAAAGATTCATAATTTCGTATCCTTGATTGGTTGTAGATTTATCAAAAAGTCGAGTGAAAGTAAAGTTTGATTTTAGTCTATTAAACAGAAACCATTGTGCTGTCAGTCGAGTTCTTCATGAAACGAAACAACTAATTTTTTTACCCGTTTCTCCTCAATCAGTCCTTCGCTTTGCATATTCTCGATATTCATCCAAAAAGCTTTGTTCATTTTTTCATTATTCAACTGCAGTAAAAAAATAAAAAGGAAGAAATATAATAAGAATCTATTTCATATAGGTCATTGACAGCGTAGGATGGAACGCAACCCTATACTTCGTATATTATCACGAGAACGCAACTCCTTTAAGATCACCCTACACTCAAGACGAGGGCGGGGAGCGCCACCTCATACTTCATGAATACACTGTATTCTTACAGAGACGCAATCTGCTGGAGTTCCCACGTCTCCTGCAGGAACGAAACCTGCTCTTCATTTACATTATACGCAACTTTTTTAATAAGCTTTTCGTCACATTTCAACTCTTGCGCAACAGATATAAATCGTTTCTTCCAAAAGGCATTTTTGTTTGGTCATGATTTATCTTTTAAGTTTGTTCGGCTATTAATGTTTTGTTTTTACACAAGAAATTACTAAAGGGATATTTTTGCAGGACGCGATTTCTGTTCATAACAAGTAGAGTTAAGATTTGCAAGAAGTCAAAACTCATAGACATGTTAGAAGAGCCTACTATAATACTATAAGAGGGGCTTTAAATATATATAAAATAACTCGAAATTAATAAAATTAAAAATTAATAATAAAGTTCATTAAAATCATTAAAATCTAATCACTAGATTTTAAGATAATCATAAAAAACTAAAAGGGTAAAAAAGTATTAAAATCAATTTAAAAACTTTTAAAATGTAATTTCATTAATATTTATAAGAATATTTTATATATTTTATTTCAAAATGTAATTTTAACATTTTAATTAAAGTAAATTGCCTTTTATTGTTTAAGTTGTTTAGTGAAATTAAAACAGAATCCAGGAAATTTTTGTTTCAAAAATATTTTTTTATTATAATTGCTAGTATTAATTTTAAAAATAATATACTGCAAAAATATTTTCTTAGTTTTTATTTCAAAGTTTTTTACTCCAAATCACCAGATCACTATTAGCCAGAATTATCAATTTTTACCGGCACTATATTTTTTAATGCTGGTTGATCGTCATAATTTCAGTCACCACCTCCAGTGATAGTTAGAAAAATTCTTTATTAAATACAGTCAGCCCCCTTTATAGTCACACCCCTTGGGACCGAAAAAAAAGGGTGTGATTATAAAAAAAGTCATATGTTGTGATTATAGAGGAGGTTTTTCTAATATATTTATTAGTACATTGGGCCAAAATATGGTGTGCTTATAAAGGGGAATTTTATATGTTGTGATTATACGGGGGGTGACTATATAGGGGGTCGACTGTATATTAAATAAATAAAAAATTAAAGTAATAGTTACTTGTAGTAAAATTATAATATAATTTGGCTAATATTTTATTAGATTTTTAATTTTGCATTATTACTACTAATAAACTTAGCAATTTTTTTCTTTTTTTATTATTTAATAAATAATTTCAAAATATATATTTTTTTCAATTAAAATAGTATTAAATAAAAAATATTATGATATATTAAATAAATAATTAAAAAAAATATAAAATTTCAAATATTTCTAATATAACTTTAACTGAAACTTATTAATAAACAAAACAAATTAAAATAAATTTAAAAAAACAAATTTTGTAATTATTTTACCAATCAGTAATTCAATTTAAACAATTTTTTTTTAAATTATAAATCTTAATGAATTTTATAAAACAAAAAAAAATTTATTAATAGATGATAAAATATCAATTGCAATAAATTAAAATAATAATTTGTATAATTTATATATATTTTTTATAAATATATATATATAATATTTTAAATTTTATAAATATGCAAAAATTAAAGCAACTGAAAACTTTTAGTAATAAACAATTATTAATTATATATATAGCAAATAATAATTTTATTATTTTTTTTTCTGCAGCACTATTAAAATAATAAAAGTATAAAAATATATATATAAAAAACTATTTTAATATTATTCTTACAGTATAAACCACTTATAACTTATTATACTATGCTTAATAAGTAGTTAATAAATTAAATTAATTAGAATTAAACTGTAATTTAACAATTCAGTTTAAAGTATAAGTAAACTAAATTATAAACTGAGTTGATTTGGTTCAAATATATTAAATTATAACTATTTTTATTTCAAGTTAAAATATTATTTAACTTAATTATATTGGCACTATAAAATTGGCCAGTATTATAAAAATTTTAGCCAGAATTAATTCAGTATATTTAATCAGATTCATATATATTATATATTGTATTATAAACTTTATAAAATTTATTTTTATTGACTATAAAAAAATTTTATATTTTCAGTAACTAATATATATAATATGCAGGTTTTTTATTATGAAAAAACTAAATTTCTAAATAAAGCATTATAATTTATAAACTCCTTTTGATATACTAAGTAAATTGTAAAGCAGGCGAAAATACACATACTATATGGTTTTTAAAGATGTTACAATTGTGCCAAAAATGTAAAAATTTAAAAAATTTAAAAAAATAGAGAATTGGAAAATTTGGCAAAGTTCGGCAAAATTCGGCAAGTTCGGCAAAGTTCGGCAAAGTTCGGCAAAGTCTCGTCGTACTGTATTTAGTAATAAAAAAAATTTACTATAGTAATATTTTAGATTTAAAAATTACGTAATAACCACACGTAATTAAAAGTTAAGGTAATATTTTTCTCCCCAAAATTATTTTCCCACTTTTTTCACTTCCCAACCCGCTTTTGATTCTAAAACGTGAGCGTCGCCTAGAGGTAGTGCGATACTAGGGACACTCGTGGAAAGAGTATTGGCAAGCCAAGGGACTCTCCCCCAATTGCAAAAATTCGTTTAATATCAAAGTTACACAGTGTGTAACGTTTCAGATATTAGACTGAAAAGAACAGATACTACACTTGATCTTAGCCAATAGGCAAGAGAGGATAAGGAAAAAAAAATTGCTGCATTACGATATCATTTTAAATAAAAATTTGAAAAAAATCAAATTATGGGATTTCAGTTGCCCCTGACGTTTGGGTGCATCACAACTGGTTGACCAATCAAAATCCGAGCAATTTTCTTACAAAATTTGTAAAAAAAAACAAGAAACCTTCTGGAATTAAATTAGAATGTCAACGTATTTTGAACTTGTCATCTAATCTTAGTTCCTTTAATTAATATAGTTACGAAAAGAATTAATTTATTATTGTAAATGAAAATTTCTATTATTTTCCTTGTGAAAGAAACTCGAAGTTTGAAATTCTTTTAATTCGTTGGGAAATAAAAAAAAATTAGTAATTCGATGGGAATATAAAGAATAATTTAGCCATTATGTTAAATTATTAATGAATACTTATTTAATATATCTGCACAAATTTAGAATAGTACGTATTCAAAGAATAATAATTCTTTTTATTTTTCTTGTTATGCAGTTGACTCCACATTAATACATAAATGGTTTCTTTTTGGGAAAAAACTTGATTCGATCATATATTTGCTGATCAATTATAAATTCTAATCGTTTTTGAAAAAAAAAATTTCTCTCTCCACCGCTAAATAAATAAAAAAAATAAAATAGAATAAAATAAAATAAAAAAAACAGAATAAAAAAATCCTCGATGGATCCATATACTGGTAAGATTATTTTGCTTTCAATAATTTTAACTTAAATCAGAGTATTTTTTTAATCTGATTAAACCATTTTCTTTTACATATCGAATCTTTCTTTATTAAGATGATGATCCTGAATACCGTAACACTCCATTGTTTTCTCAGGTTAACAAACCTTCGGTTAGAACTGTTGCTCCACCTGAACAACGTAGAGTAGGTGGTGGTGGAAGATATAATAGGAATCAATATCAACAACAATCTGGTTACCAACAACCTAGTCATCATTATTCTCAAAATCATCACCATCACCATCACCAACAGCAATACAGAAGTTATAACCATTATAATTCTTCGGATCGTTCTAATTATAATTCAAATAGATATAATCAACAAGAACAACGATCGCCACAACAAGCCTCGCAATCTTATAATACGAGAGAAGAACGACATAGAGAAGAACATCATCATCGATATCCAACTCAAGAGCAAAAACCACCACAACCTCCATTGACTTCTATTCCACCTTCTTCTTCTTCTTCTTCTTCTTCGTCTACTTTACCATCTCTACCTTCTTTTTCAAGTATTTCTCAATTATCATCTGATAATTCATCATCATCATTCTCTACTCTTCCTCCTATTCAGCAAATTGACAAAGATAAAAATCGAATAACTTCTACTATACAATTACCTAAGCAAAATGCGGACTTTATTTCTTGTAATATTCCTTATGAAGGAGGAAAGCCAATTGAGGGACTAGGGATGGTTTTTGGCCTAGTAAGTTAAATCTTTTTTCAAATTGTTTTTTGGGTATTTTTTGTATTTTTATTCATATTAATATCTACTTTTACAATCGTTAAAGATTACTGAACCTGATTATAATCTATTTTGCGATTCCAAAGTTGTGTACGATCTTCTTCAAAAGAAGGTAAAAATCTTCTTATAAATAGCGTATCAGTTCGATAAAAAATTATTAACTTTTTTTAACAAATAAAAAAAAAAAATCTCAAACAATAGAATAGTATTGAGGGTATATCACATGAAAAATTCACAGAAGCGAGACAGAAATCAAATCCTTATGAAAAAGTTGGTAATTCGATTTTTATGAATAGAGCTGCTGTAAAATTGGCATGTTTAGATTCCTTAGTTGGCTTTGCATCGGTTAAAAGATACGATCCTGTTAAAGAACTGGTAAGCTAATATACATTGAAATTTTATTTAATACAATGTTATAAACAATTTGATGATCATAAACTTTTTTAATATACAAAGGTATTTTGGTTTGCGGACTTATGTGGTGGACCAGGAGGATTTACAGGTTTTAAAAATTAACATTTTTTCTTAAATAACTTTAAAAATAATTAATTATTTTTTTTAGAATATTTGTTATGGCGTAAACATTCTTGGTGGAGAGAAAAAGTTCACGGATGGGGAATTACTTTAAAAAGTGGACAGGATTTTGAATTTAATAGATTTCATCATGAAACTATGCCAACTAAATGTTTTAAACCCTACTACGGAGCTGATGGCACAGGTAATTTCAACCATTTCTCTTTTGAATTTGGTTAATGGTAATGATAATAATGATAATAGTAATAATATCTTAAAATATTTAGGTGATTTGTATAAAGAAGAAAATATTAAAGATTTTGCAAGAGTTGTAAAAGGAGGAACTAAAGGAGATGGGGTAGATTTGGTAACAGCTGATGGGGTAAGTTCTGTGTATAAGCATTTAAGAACTTAATATTATGGTGTAAGCTAAAGATATTTTGTCGATTTAAATAGGGATTTGATGTAAGAGGAAGAGAACAATATCAAGAAATTCTTTTAAAACAACTTATATTATGTCAAGTAGTTACGATGTTTATGACACTCCGAAAAGGTAATTACCAATGAATTTTAGAATTTTGTAACAATATATTGATTTTTTTTTTTTAAATAAATGTGTATACATACTTATTTTATTTAGATGGTGATTTTGTATTAAAATTATTTGATATATTTACACCATTCACTGGAGGTATCGTATGGATATTATATCGTCATTTTGAAAAGATTTGTATCATCAAACCATTATCAAGTAGACCTGCAAATTCAGAGAGGTAATTTTTTTTTATTTTAATTAAAAATTTAAAAGCCATGCTTAATGCTAATTTCCTCTTTGCTAGATATATAATTTGTCAAAAATTACGAGAAAGTAATCCAGAAGCAATGATAAGTTATCTCCTCAAAGTAAACAGAAAATTTAATGAAATAAAATCTAACGAGTCAACTTTATCACCAACGACCACATCATCGTCATCACTTAACCGGTTATTAACGCAAGATAGAGAATCAACAAATTCATCAAGATCAACAAAATTACCAAAGGAGGATATAAATGAAATTATTGATATTTCCGAAATAAAAAAAGATCAAGAATTCTTGAATTATATTAAACAGAAGAACATTGAGATAGCTAAAAACCAGATTGGAACTATTAAACAGTTATTGAAATTTGTTGAGAATCCGTATCCTTTTTTTATTATGAATCAATAGGTTATGAGAGAGAAAGTTTAAGGCTTGAAAGAAATTTTTTAAATTCCTTAATTTAATTTTATTTTTGATAATATAGGGAAATGAGATTACCTCAGGAAGAATATAAAAAACTTTGTTTACAAGAATGGAGATTACCACCAAGCGAAGAAGGTTCTTATAAATCTGTGTATTAATAAATTATATTGTGAAATTATTAAAAATATGTCGTTATTTGATATCTTTTAAATTAAAGTTATTTGGAAAAAAACTTTTAGTTGCTTGATAATTTAAAATAAATTTGCACAATATATTAAGATACAAGAAACAGGGTAGATCAAAAACGATATATATTATAAAACGTATTTTCACATGTATAATAGCAACACATTATAAATTTCATAATTTTAAATTTATTATGTTCTTTAAAAATGTGCATTCACTGCATTCACTAATGCTTAAACCGATTTCCATTAAATAAATTAATGAAATATTGATCAAATGAATCTTTACGATTTCTTGGAAGAATTAAAATCGTATTTTGATTTCCTTTTTTCAATCCTATATCCTGCAAATCCAAAAAAAATATATATATATATATATGTATAATATACATTACAATATTTGTGTGAAAAATTCAAAGCTACCCGTTTCTACCAAATATAGTGAAATTTACAAACATAAAAATAATAAAGTCAAATAGTCTAATGTAATGACAAAAAAAAGTTACGCTATATGTTTTTTTCAATTAGGATAAAAATTCTTGTTCAAACCAGTGATGAATTTTTATCAAAATAAAAAGCTAATTTTCCATCCCGTTATTCATTTTCCGAGGATTAGTAACCGCTGATTTAGCATACGGATGATATTGATATCGTTTAGCTCTTTTAGCATAATCTGTAATTCTTGTGCTCTGTGACTTTTAGATAATAAGAACAACAATGTTAAAATAATTCGAGAATATATTGACAAAAAAGAATGTAATCCTTACATCAGATTCTAAACTACTACCACTATCCGACTCTTCCTCGATTTCGTTATTATTAACATCCGTCACGTTTGGTGTTGATGTATGTTTTCTGTAAATTCAATATACGAAAATTTAATCGTTTTAAAAATAATAAATAAATATGAATGTATTTACCTAATTACATAATGTATTTCTTCATCAGAGTCGGAGTCAATAGAGCCAATGGCAGACTCTGATCTTTCAGCCTCAACTTGTAATAGTGGAACTATACTTCGCGGTTTAATGGACGCTCCCAATGAACTTTAGATATAATACATAATTTAATAAACAAACGAATATTTAAGGAAATAATAATAGATGTTAATTTATACCAAAGTGTGTCATCTTCATCTTCATAATCATAAAAATTTGACGGAACCGGATAACGTACACCACGACTATAAACATTATGAAATCGATAAACGTTTATAAAATAATTTTTTTTTTAAAAAAAATATTTGTAATATCATTTACTTACAACACTTGCGCAAATTGATTTTCATTAACTTTATTGTCCGACCCTTCTTTCATTGCAACAGGCGGTGAAAGGAATGGATTATTCGGAGAATCTCTTATAGTTGATGGGTCTAGTTCGCGCGGCGAAGAATCGCATGAAATCTCGTCTTTTTTAATTGAATTCTTTGGAACAAGAAAAGGATTCCTGGGATAATCGCTTTCGATCAATCCATTTTTTGACTCAATTTCTATAATTGTATCAATAAAAGTTTCACGCCATTCTGAGTCTTCTTGTGACAAAGAGTCATCAGAATCAGTGATTTCTAATTCATTAACTTGTTCTGATAATGGTTCTTGTGAGTCCCACAATAATTTTGCAGAATTGGTCAGCGGTCTAATAAAAAATTAATCAATGACATAATTTATTTAAATGATTAAACGCTAGGATGTGGTTCTAAAGTGATATTCTTTCCATGTCTTAGGAAAAAAATTTTAAAATTTGCAATTATACGCGTAATATAAAAGGAAATGTAAATAATTACCGAATATACACTATTGTATCATTTAATTTACGCGTTTCTGGCGAAAGTGGAGGTGATTTTTGTATTTTAGCTGCTTTTTCTCTTGCAACTGCTAGAGGCCCAAAGGGATTTTCTGGTGAATCAATAGCTCCAAGCGATATCGATGTTTTAGGTTGCGGCGAAGTCTTGTGTGTCGAACTTTGCTCTGCCAAATCTTGAACTATAGCTAACTTCGTGGCAACCTTCGCCGCCGGTTCCTCTAGAGTACTCTGTGGAACTACGGACGACGAAGGCTCATAATTTGGCTCTTTTAAGGCCGAAATGATTATAGTTTTAATTGCCAACAAAATAAAGTGTTAGCAATCAGATTTACGCGACACTATGATCGACTAATCTTAGTAACATGAACTTCTACATGTTTAGATTGTTACACGAGGTAACAGTTGAAATTAAAATTAGGATGGCGCACTGCTTACTATATATATAAGAACAGATAACTATATTAAAATTTTGGTAAAATTTTAAAGAGATTAAAAATATCGTAAAATTAAAATTAATATTTCTTTGTCTTTATTATAAAACTTAACAATTCTAATATATTCTTCTATTATTAAAAAAATAGAATTTTATATAAATATAAAACATTTTTCATAAAATATCCAACTTATTTAGCAAATATTTTTAACAAACTAAATTATTTTAATTAGTATTTAATTTTAGAGAATTACTAAACTTAACCTGGGGGAATTTTCCTTCCCTCTCCCTTTATTTCAATTTTTAATTAAAATATTGACTTGCGAAGTAATCTAAGAATAAGATTATATGTAAATTTATGAGAAGAAAAGGTTTTATTAAGTTAAAAAAGGTAGTTGTTCAGATGGTTTTTGTGAAAAGTACATAATTTTGATTTTTATAGTTAAATTGTATTTTTCATAATAAAAATTTTTTTTAAAACCAATTTTATGCAATTAATATCTATTTCATAAAAAAAGTTTATTTTTTTTAAGGGTATCATATGGTTACACATATGTAACATAATGTCGATTATAACCCAAGTCAATTTTATCAATTAAAAAAAAGTGTGACAAAGCCAAGCCACTAAAGAAACATATTATTATTGTTTAAATTTTTTATTTCCATATTTTTAAAGAGTTGTTATACCTGGTTTAATTAGTTTTTTTAGTATATGCTTTATTTTCAAAAAGTTTTACTTGTCAAGAATTCAGTTGCAAGTTGCTCATTATACCTTAAAGTTGCTCATTACTTAAGCTAACTCAGTCAGTTTGCACTATTTTCTTACCAAACTTAAAACCAAACAGTCTGGCTTCTTTATCTACAAATTCACTTATACAATAATATAATGGTAAGACAGATTTTTTGAAAGTTTACTATAAGCTATTCCTTAAATTTATAGTTCTATATTGTTCTATTTTTAGATTTCTAGTAGTTTTCTAATTATTACTTTTTTTCATTATGGATAGATTATACATATTTAAATAATAGTAATTATAAATAAGTATATTGCATTGGAGTTATCAAGGAGCAGGTTATTGTTATTAAAAAGTGATCTATTTATTTTTTGGATAAAGAATCAAAAATCATTTACTGAGAGCGCTTAAATATTAATTTTTATTGTAATATTTTATTTTTTGTAATTTATCTTACAAAATAAAATAATTATAATCATTATAGACAACAAATTAGTGAAACTGTGAAATTTCTGTTAATTGTAAAATAAAATAATGAAGTTTTTTCAATTTTTTCTTTGATTTTTCTTTCGTGTGAAGTATTTCTTAAAAAATTGTCATGTAAAATTGATTGATTTTATTGGCTATTATTGTTGATCATCACATGAAATACTATTTTTAAAATGTTACACAAGTTGATCATTGAGTTAACTACGAAATCAACAAAAAGACCCTACCCTTAAATTCTTAAGGGGGGGAGGAATTATCCCCCTGGTTAAGATTAGCAATACTCTTAATTTTAGATATAATTTTTATATTTTATTTAATATTTAATTTATATTATACCATATATTGCAAGCTACAGTACTTCTCTATATATAGTACCCCTTTTTATAATATAGGTAAATATTTTTTAAATATATTACAAGTTTTTAAACCTTTTTATTTATAATAAAAAATTTTATACATCTTTGGGTATGATATTATATTAACTAACCCTTTAAAATTTGCAAAATATCTAAAGTATTGTGGCTTATAATATATAATGGTTTAAATATATTAACTTATTATAATTTCAGTTACTGGTGATTATCACCTCTGGTAATAGTTAGAAAAATTCTATATAAAAATTACCTGTATTTTAACTATACTCCTGTTTTTAATTAATTAATAATACAGTCAAATCTATACATGAAACTGAAATTGGTTAATTTTGACTTCCGAAATGGTCGAAATGGTCGAAATGATTTTGACTTGAGCCCCTCCAAAAGTCGAAATGGTTGAAATTACATTATAGTCATATGATTTTATAGTAAACAATAATACAGTCCCCTCTCGATATAACGAACCCTAGGTTCCAGCTGATCAAGGCTTCGTTATAAGCAACTTCGTTAACACTATAACGAATTATTCGGTATTGTATAACGAATTCTTCGGTATAGGAATATCGGTTATACAGATCATGTGACTTGTTGATCTGATTACTGATAATTTAACATTTTTTTTAATCTTTTTTTTATAGGGGTGCTTTCTAAACTTCAAAATAGATGCCTAGAATGAGAAGTAAGTGGGAACTGGGGGTTTTTTATATTAATTTCGTTTAAGAACATTTACTAATGTTCTTTTTTTATTTTTTTTATTGTAGG